GGGTCGATGAACGTGATGATCAAGTCCAGCAAATCGAAGTAGGTGGGGCGAGCTTCATGATCCAGGCAGAAGCGGGGAACTTGAGCTCGAAGTTAGTTGGTCTTGCTTTTCGAGAGTGTCAGGAGGAAAGAACGATTGGGTGAGGTTGGAAGATTCTACCACAAAGAAGTGTGCACTCGAGATAGGTACCTACCAGAAAGGTAAGATACAACTTGTTGCAGATGATGAGCAGGAGCTGCTGCTTCAGCCTTGCCAAATCCGATCGTTGCCTGTCGCTACCCGTGAATCGATACCCGTTCTGGGTCGTTCCTGCCTGACGGTTTCTAGATTTTGGAAAGTGACGTGCACAGCCGCTGGAAGGTGCGACCAACGGCGCGGACTGCCTTGGTTTGCCCTTGCTGATTGGCTTGTAATTGCCCCAGTCCGCCGTTTTTAGGGAGCTTGTTCGCCGGAAAGCTGCTATAAATCTTCATTAGGTTTTGTTCAGTGGGGGCCGACCACAGTGACATTCAACATTGACAAGAAGCTCGGGCCATACCTGCCCTCCCGCCGGGAACACGGGAGCAACTCCAGGCTGCAACGCTCCTTGATGACTCGGGCGATCTTCGGGTCCCAACCACCAGCCACAGTTGCCATTCGAGCATCAAAGCCACATGAACAGGTGGCTTGCCCCAGGTGGCTCATGCTTTCGATCCAAATTAGGTTCAAACTCTATCGTCGGCAAACGCAGTCCTCTTTGCCCTTTTTGCACAATCAAGGCAACTCAGCAATCGAGCAATCCTTGGGGAACCCGTCGGCTTGCTTAGACCACGTCAAACAAACTCTCGGGGGCGGCTATTTGACGCGATGTAAGCTTAATTCATCATCGTCCAGACTTGTAGTCCATTGGCACCCTAACGACTGTCTTCAACCATCTGAATCAGTCTCACTTTCACCCACAGACAGCGTGACCAAGACTCGACTCAAGACATGATCGTCTTATCTGCGCAGATCGGACTCACTGGAGAGGGAACGGAAAAGCAAAGACCACCAATCCACCCACTCAGTCTCTTGGCGGAGATGGCGACTCGCAAGTTTCGCCACTACGCCTCACTCTGTCTGATTATACTAATTGACACTGGGCAGTGAGTTCACCCTGAACGAGAGCGAATTACATCACTGCCACCGTGCCACGCAGAGTACACACTGCACAGTATCCGCAAAGTTCGTACGGATTACTCCGTACACACTGAGTCCTTGTGCCCCTGAATTCAGAATGACATAATTACCTGGGACCTCGCCTCTGAACTGGAGCCCCGATGGATCAGAACGTTTGGTCTGCTCTCTCGGAATCAACCGGTCAAAGTCACATTCGGCACGGGAGCCATGCTGCCATGTTTGCTACGGGTGGCTGCTCTTCTTTCATCTTCCTCTTTGCTTTGTTTTTTTCTGCCCTGGACTGGAGATCCGGTTCATCGCGCCGACGTTTGGCTCGGAACTGTCGCAGATTTATCGCTGCTGACATCTCTCCCTAGTAGGGTTACTTCAACACGTCGAGGCGACAGTCTTGGCAATGAAGCTAAAATGCTACGGCCAATTTCATCAATCCAACATTGCGCCGACGTCAACAGCGCGAACTGACACGGTGGAAGTTTATCATAGTACGGAGAGACTCAAGTGATTATCTGATTACTCACAAGACCACCCAGCAGAAACTGTCAAAAAGAAAGGAAAAAACGTGGCCGATCATGAAAGCTTGCGCAATCGTCATCAAATACCAGGCATCTTTGCAGCCGGTCGAGAAAAGTTGATGTCTTGGGACTGTTAACATGAGTGTTGGACAGCAGTTGGAGGCTCACTCATGCCCATACAGCGCATTTCGGCCAGAGTCCACACCACGTCGCCGACTCTCTCTCAGTCTCTCTTCTCATCTTGGGAGTTTGTCCGGCTGGGCATTCCATCATCCATCAATCATCAGTCCGGGAGGCCAACCAAAAAAGCCAAAAACATGCAAGACCAACACTCATCCCGAACTTACAGTCTTACATCGATAATGAGCGCGGGCTGAAGAGTCGCACCCTACGTGGGGCCATCCCGTTGAGCGAGCTTGGAGATGAAGGGGTACAGCGAATACGCAGCTTGGCAACGCAACGTCCAGGGCCCCCGACGGTGCCCACATCACGCGCAAAAATGTGCCAATTGTGGTCTGTAGCTCCTCAAATTCCCTTTCCCACCATGCCAACTTCCAATGGTCACCGGTCATTGTCAGTGTCCAGCATCCCGCCCGGGCTTGGCTCCAGCAGAGAAAAGACACAAGGTCATCTTCATCGCCGCAATGCCCAAGAAAAGCCAATACTCGTTGGCCTTTATTCGCGGCGGCGGCCCCATAAGTTTAAACTGATAGAGAAGGTGAGCGTCCTGCAACTCCCGGGGCCGCTTAGGACTGCGGACGGGTCTGCTCTTACGGCTTCTAGCTAGTAACTACGGATACCTACTCAGAGTCTCAGATACTAGCACGACTAGCACGAAGCGGCGTAGCACTTGGAAGCGAAGCAGGCCCGCCGACTTTCATCTTCTCAAGACGTGCCAAGACGTTGCCAAGACGCGTGCGTGGGGAGCCTCAACCGTCGTTCTCGTCAACCACTGGATCCGGACCTTATTTCTCCATCCTCCGTCCAACATCCCATCCACCTTTTCGCCAGAATGGGCCAAGCAGGCGGAGATGAACCGTAGAGGGGGTGGGATGCAACAATACTTGGCTCATAAACAAGCTCCCACTATGCTGACGACGACCTAGCGATAGCCGTTGGCGTAGTCCGTCTCTGCAAGCCGCAGAAGCACATCATATTCTTCTTCGACATGGTGGACTGGTGCGGGCGGTGCGGGAGAAACAAGATGACCATGATGGATCTCTAGTCCCTGGATATTTTCTGCTCTCCCCTTGGCTTCCACTTGGCAATCCTTTGCCTTTTCGACCACCCCTGATTTCATGGTCTCCCGGCCTCAAGCCCAGTGCTGCTCATTGCTCCAATCTGCAAACCCCTCGTCCTCGCAGTCGCCATGCTCTGCTTGGCTCCCCCCATCTGATCATTCTGGTGATGATCAATAAGCGCAACCCCCCCACTGTCGTCCCTAATCACCCCGACTCATCCAACTCATCCCAGAACCCCGTCGATGGATCCTTCGTTGCACCGTTGCACCGTTTCCCCCCCGTCGGGTGCTCTCCAGCAAACATGGAGCCTTGGAGGCGCCGAACCGGCTTGGATCCGATCTTGGATTAAAAAGAGCTCCCTTCCCCCCAGCCTTAACCGCTTTTTGAGGAAGCTTGGCGACTCAGATCTGGTTCCTTCACCCGCTTGCTTGTCTCTCACCTGTCGTGATTCCCGAATCTCGACATAGTCACTCTTTTGAACCCCCCAAAGCACAGCAAACCCCTCCCCATATCAAAGCCAATAATGAAGTCCGTTCTCTTCTTCGCGACCGCCGCGGCGGCGGCCGGTCCTTACCTCGCCTGGACCGCCGACTCGTTCACCAAGCACGAGATCGACAACAAGAAGCCGTACCACTACACCAAGGCCGTCCTCTACGACGGCTTCGAGGCCGCCATCGAGCTCACCAAGGACGACGCCCTCGTTGACTGGTACCGCAGCCGTATCGACGACCTCGTCGTCCAGTCCAACGGCAGCATCCTTAACTGGAAGCCTACCACCTACTCCCTGGACGAGTACCGCATCGGCAACAACATCCTCTGGTGGTACGAGCGCACCGGCGAGGAGAAGTACAAGACCGCCGCGAGAACCATCCGCGACCAGCTCGTCGAGCGCCACCCCCGTACCGACGAGGGCGGCTTCTTCCACCGCAGCCCCGACTACGACTACCAGATGTGGCTCGACGGCATCTTCATGGCTGACACCTTCTACGCAAAGTGGACCTCCCTCTTCGACAAGGACAACACCACTGCCTGGAACGACATTGTCAATCAGTTCGAGGTCATTGACAAGCACACCCGCAACTACACCACCGGTCTCCTCTACCACGGCTTCGACGAGAAGATGGAGGCCGTCTGGGCCAACCAGGTCACCGGCGCCTCCCCTCTCACCTGGTCCCGTGCCGTCGGCTGGTACGCCGTCGCCCTCCTCGAGGTCCTCGAGCTCCTTCCCCGCGGCCACCCCGGCGTCACCACCCTCTCCAGATTCTTCGTCACCCTCGCTGAGGGCCTGAAGAACGCCCAGGACAGCACCACCGGCGGCTGGTGGCTCATCATGGACAGCCCTTACGTCGGCCGCCCCAAGAACTACATCGAGTCCTCCGCCTCCGCCCTCTTCGTCTTCTCCTGGCTCAAGGGTATCCGTCTCGGCCTCCTCCCCGAGCGCCGCTTCTTCCCCGCCGCTGCCAAGGGCTACCAGGAGCTCACCACTTTCGTTGTCGAGAATGCCAACGGCACCGTCAACTGGAACGGCACCGTCGAGGTCGGCTCCCTCAAGAGCAACGCCAGCTTCGAGTACTACACCTCCGTCCCCATCGCCATGAACGACTACAAGGGTGTCGGCCCCTGGATGTTCGCCTCCTACGAGTGGGAGACCTTCAACCAGACCTCCACCGGCGGCAGCCGTCCCCGCGGCCCCGGCCGTGGTGGTCCCCGTGGCCCCCGCGGTCCCCGCACCTTCAACCGCCGCTACCACTTTTAAGAGAGTACCTTAGACAGTGTGTGAAATTTACGGGAGACTTGTAAACGTGACGGAAGCATACGGCCGATGAGATCAAAGAGTCATGGCCCTCAGCGTGTACATGAATTAAACTTAATTTCTTAATCCCTTCTCTGGGGGCGTCTGTACATATTTTTCTCTTTCCCTCAGTTACATGAACATAGATTCGTTTCCCTCATGATATGTCGACCCCCTTCTTGATTCGTGATCCGTGATCTTCTGCCTTCCTGCTCGTATCCTTACTTTGATACTTGCCATGGCAAGTTTCTCAAAGCATCATCGATCCTGCAGTCACGTTAGCCTACTCACCAAGTATCACTCCATATAAACATACCTTCTCAACCCCTCAGCCACGATATACTCCTCCTGTGTATAGACCAACCGAAACCGTCCCGGCGCAAGACAATGCTCCTCCCCCGGATGCAAGAACACACCCCTCTCAACAAACCTTTCCGCCAACGCAAACTCCCTCTCCCGATCCGACTCGTACTCCTCCGGCGGTGGCAACCAAGGCGACAGATCAACATACACAAACAATCCGGCATTCGCCTCCACAAACCCAACCCCCATCTCCCTCAGCATCGTCGTCACAAACTCATACGCACCAGCAATACTCCGCCTCGAACTCGCAATAAACTCATCATGCCACACCCGATCCTCAAACATGGCAGCCGCAATCGCAACAGACGGCCCAGCAGGACTATGAAACCTCACAACGCTCGAGAACGCCTCATGCAGCGCGGCGTTCCTCGATAGCAGCGCACCCAACCGTAATCCCGACGACGCAAAGTCCTTGGCCAGGCCGTACTCCACGTGCACCAGATCCGGGTCGATAATCCCCTCCGGATCAATAGACAACACCGACGTGAACCCAGGCATCTCATCAGAAGACCTAAAAACAGATAACCCATACACCTCATCGCTAACAAGGTGAATCTTGTGCCTTCCACAAAACCGCATAATCGCCACAAGCGTCTCGCGGGAATAACACCGTCCAAGCGGATTACTCGGATTCACAATCATCACCGCCCTCACCCTCACTCCCCTCTCCCTTTCCCTCCTCACCGCAGCCTCAAACTCCTCAACAACCACATCCGGCAGGAAACACGTCTCGGGCGTGGTATCGGCATACACAACCTCCACACCCATCTCATTCCCAAAATCAAGCTCAAACCGCCCATACACCGGCCTCGGCACCAACACCCCTTCCCCAGGCGACGCCAGCGCAAACGCAAGAATGCACTGCACGGCCGTCGCCCCCGCCGCAACCCTCACATGCTCCATTTCCAACGGCGCATAGGGACGGAACGTGGCGTTCAGATGCCCCACCATCGCGGCGCGGAGACGGACGCCGCCGGCGGTGCTGTAACTGTATCCGAATACGTCGGGCGTCAGCTTGACCGTGGCGGCAAAGGCGGCGACGGAGGACTGCATGAGGGCGTTGCTCGCGCTGCCAAAGGAGATTAGGCCGGATGGGTTTGTGGTCGGGGAGTAGGTTTGAACGGGGGCGAAGCGCCACGGCCGGTGGAGGGCTGATGCGGTTTTTGCGGCGCGGGGGGAAAGCATTGCGCCTTTGGGGGATGTTGTGCAAGTCATTTGTGTGTGTTTGTGATGTCAAATTTGGATGGATTTGCCGAGCAGCTTTGTTGTCATCTTGGGAGAGACTTGAGAGTATGATGATGTAGTAGTCGACGGGCGTAGCGGAGGAATAAACCCCGTCCGATCGGCATCCGGCGCGGGGAAGAATGCGGTGTTTTGCGCACCTCTGCGGCCTCTCAGCATCCATGATCAGCCGGGTCCTACCATTGTGGGGCTGCAGAAATAACCGGATGTAGTCAGACCAGAACGAGCAATCTAGGCGTATTATAAGAATATGGAAATCTAAACTAGTACAACTTAAGACTATTCATCAAGCAAAGATCATTCAGCCAGCATCCGAGTGAGCTCATGAGATGCCACAAGACAACTACCACAATTGTCAAAGCAGTCTTTACACATATCAAAGTCTCCCCCATTGCAGTCTGAACAGTGATAACATGTGTCATTCTCTGGTATGCTTAAAGTGCAGATGTCGCAGACCAGGTCCAATGGCGTTCCAGAGGCTGCGTGCTCATATGAAAGCTGACTGTCTGTGTCTCCTAAAAAGAAGTCCTCTCGTGATAGGTTGCCGTTCTTTGCTGTTTCAAGTAGAAGCGATACATCGGCAAGCCCCCGCCTTCTAGCCCATGATAGAGGTATTCGGCCGAAACAATCTCGAGAGTTGATGTCTACTTCATAAGTGTCCAAGAGGTTCCTCACGACCTCAACATGCCCTCTTCTGGCCGCAACAGAGAGGGCCGTTGAGCCGTACCGGTCCTTCCAGTCTACTACCGATGGATCCCGCTCAGCCAGAGTTGAGACGGCTTCAGCATGTCCGTTTTGAGCGGCGAAGAATAATGGTGTCCGGCCCAAAGGATCTATCGACCATGGGCTCACGTTTGGGTCGGCAAGAAGTAGCTGTACCACAGAGCTGTGACCGCCGCCAGCAGCGTATGACAGGGCGGTTCGACCGAACTGACTATTTCTGCTATCCAGGCAGACGCTGTACTTTCCATGTAACAGTGATAGAATCTCGTCATGCCCACCCGCCGCAGCGGCCTGCGTAGAACCGCCGAAATAGCCGCTATCGCAACTGGGATCCGCGCCATTCTCAAGAAGCAGCTCAGCAGTCTTATAATGGCCTCTGAATGAAGCCGCCTGAAGAGCATTGCCAAATTGGCCGCCCTGGGTATTGACATTCGCATTGTGTTGGAGAAGCATCTGGACAACCTTACTGTAGCCTCCGAGTGAAGCAGCATATAGTGCGTTGTTTTCCAACCCTCCCTGAGCAAGAGCGTCTGCGTTGTTATCTAGAAGCACTCCAACTGTCTCCTCGTGACCTAGGCGAGACGCCTCGTAGAGAGCCTCTCCGAGAGCTGTAGAGAGCTGGTGATTCTTCTCATCCAATTTGCCGAGGGTGTCAATTATTACCGCCATAACTCTATGACCGCTAGTCGAATTATGAGCTGCGGCAAAAAGAACCGCTCCGGTGATCGGGATGTTGTCTCGCTCCTTTAGAAGTAACGACATGATCTTATCGCCGCACCTCTCGTTGCCAGCTGCGAGACTGATGATCTCTTCAGTGAGAGGGACACCGTCTGCGTACCTTTCTAGGAAAAGTTCCAGAATCTCTGTGCCACACCACGGATTTTGAACGGCAACGCCGACGGCCTTTTCGGTGATCTGAATGTGGTCTCCGCGCCTGTCGAGAAGCATTTGTATGATTTCATAGGTAAAACAATTCGCACATGTGTGTACGAGGACTTTTTCAGGGATCGGGATGCGGTCGCCTCGCGCTGCGAAAAGCAATTTCATGACTTTGCCGCCTACTCCCGTGATTTTGACCGCCGCTTCAACAATACTCTCCGTGATGCGAATGCTATCCCCATAGCGTTCTAGCAGAACTGCCACCAGCCGATCGCCACACCTTGTATTCGAAGCTGCAGCCTGTAAAACGCTTGTGGTGATAACTATGTCGTCTCCGCACTTGTCAATGAGCAATGTGATGAAACGTACGCCGTTGCTAGGGTTATTAGCCGCAGCTATGACAATGTCTTCGGTAAGTCTATGTCGGACCTCCTCCAACCGCCACTCAAGAAGGAGCGGCAGCAGCAGATCGCCAGTTCTTCTTGTCCTCCGGCCCTTACCCTGTCGAGCTGCTTGTATGAGCACATGTTCAGTGACCTGAAGCTTATACTCTTTCCGCCTTGTAATAATCGCCTGTATACCTGTGGCGCTGTAACACGAAGCTATCAACTCGTCCGTGATACATACCTTTTCACCGCATTTGTTAAGAATCAGCGCCATCATTCCTGAGCACCGAGAGGCGGCCGCCATCTTGACGAACTTTTCAGTGATTCGAATTTCATGTGGATACTTATCCAGAAAAACACCCATTATCTTGTCACCGCAGTACTGGTTGTCGAATATCGCCTCCATAATGTCTTCGGTGATTTTGATATCATCTCCGTACTCTTCCAATAGCACAGCTGCCACGTTGCCGCCATGGTGATGATTCTGGACGGCAGCTTTGAAGATCTTGGTGTTAACCTCCAGAGCGTCGCCATGTGTCTCGATGAATTTGCGTACAATGGTACCACTGAATCTGTGTACGACATTTTCCATGAAATTGGTGGGAATCTGGGACTTGGTCCCAAATCTGCCGAGCAAGAGCATCATTACTTCAATTCTATGCCTTGGATTTTTTCCGACCGCGTCAAAGAGCTCCGCTGTTATCTTTACTTCGTCTTCACACACTTCAAGAAGCATTTCCATGAGATCTTTGTCGCAGTTTCGACTTGAGGCAATCGACATTAGAAATTCTTTCGTTATGTTGATCTGGCCCCTTCGCGTGTCAAGGAGCAACGGTAGAACTGATTTGTCAAGCCGTAACGTGTCAGTAGCCGCGGCTAGAATCATATCTGCGGAGATTTCGATCTCGTCTCCCCGCTCATCAAGTAACAGCTTCACCACATCCGCTCTGTTCTGAATAGCAGCTGAGACAATTTCCGGAGTGATTTGACTCTTATAATGTTTGAGAAGTAGCGAAGTAGATTCTACGCCTCTCCTGCTATTTCTGACTGCGGCTTTGATGATGTCGCCAGTGATGTTGATTTCGCGACCCCGTTTCTCTAGAAGATGAGAAAGGATGATGTCGCCGCATACTAGGTTCGAGGCAGCAGTTTGAACAACTTCTTCGGTGACTCGGATGTCTGACGCAAGCCTTTCTAGCAGGAACGACATCACTCGCACACTGTTTCTCATACTTCCAGCCGCAATTTTCACATGTTTCAGGGTCCAGTTGAAGGCGACTCCGACGTCGAATTGCCACTGGAGGATTTGAATGCTGTCGTACCTTATGATAAGTTCATCATGTGTGGCGCCATTTAGATTCCTGGGCCGAGCTCGGGCCAGCTGCGTCCAACGTTCTGGGCTCAAAACTCCCGACAAGTCAAATACACAGATAACCAGCATTGCAAATGGCATGTAGGATAAAGCGGCATTGAACTCGTGTTTCTCATCCAGATCCGCGTCGTATCTCTTGCATGAAAGTCGGTCATGCCAACGAGAGAACGGAGAGGAATGATTTCCTTCCCCGGAGAAGAATTTGGTCAAAATCAGGGATAAACGTGATTGCCTTTCTTCATGGTCTGCGTATTTTGCGTGGTGTGCCCAAAAGGAGAACGAGTATCGCATAACCGGCGTCAAAGGCATGATTACAGAAGGGATATCATCAAGGTTGAGAAGGCATTGCTCCGCCGCAAGTGCGTGTGCAGTCGTAATTTGGTATGCATGTTCACCCTCAAAGAACTCTCTGACGGATAAGTGGGAGAAGCGGAAGGCGTCCAGTGTCTCGTCAAAAAGAACCATATTGTTGCACAATTCCAGGAGTTGGTCTCTTGAGATGGTGGCGGTGGATACGTCCTTTGCTCCTGACACCATTGCGAGGAAGACGTCCGATTTGAATTGCTCTTGGGCACAAAGCAGCCATCTAAAGGCTTTCCTGGCCACTTCTCTGTCTGCGACGGCATCCCTGGTTTCGATCTTTGCCAGGATCTCTTGGTAAAGCCCTTCCAGTGTTCGCGGCATCTTGGCTAGCCTCTCTTCAATGGCAGCATCAGTGGCCTGGCGATAAAGCTCTTGTATGTGTAGGCTGGCCCAACGGAACCTGCAAACTGTAAGTTTAATATCCAAAAGATGAGCTAGAAGTTACAACTTACATTCCATGCGCATTAGCAGTAAGCTCGAAAATAATCTTGTTCCGCAGTTCCTCCTTTCTTGAGCTTCCTCGCAGCAGAGACCCTTTGCTGACAAGACGACAAGTCTCTAACCGCACATATAAGTCGATGTCTCCCGAGTTGCGCTCTGATGAGAGGTGGAGGTTTCCGTACTTTTGAAGCTCGTGTACGATGTCCCTATCGTCTCGACTGGATACGAAGACCTTCATAGTGGTCGGTGTTATAACGAGAGACACGAGAAAGTCCAAAAGGTCTTGTCGGGTTTCTCTATCGCACTCGTCCAGTGCATCGATGATCAATGTGATTGTCTGACCTTGATAACTATCAAGTAATAGCCTGTGGATAAGAGCTTTGGTCTCGTCTAGTGTGAGAGACTGTGAAGCAAAAGCTTTTTCTTCAAATCTTCTGTACACCTCGACTGCGGCATCCAGAATATCCGCACCGGTCTGGGGCATCGCTAGTTGCCTCGCAAGACTCGCCGCTATGCTGGTGGGATTGGAAAGGCCGGGCTCGGCCGGATTTCGGGAGCAGTAAAAGTACACCGTCGCTGCTGGAGATAGTCTCAGAGCATCTTCAACAACAATTGACCTGAGTTTTCAACATGAGGTCAGATTATATGTTGGGTGATCGGCATCAACTTACGTCAGCTTGCTCTTGCCAGAGCCTGGAATGCCGTGTAGCCATAAGATGGACGATGCCTCAGAGTTCTTCCAGGACTGAAAGACTTTGTCCTCGAGAAGCCACTTTCCTGTTCCTTCTAGAACCTCACTCTTGTTTTGTGTGTGATGCTGTTCGTATGGTTCTTTCGAAATCCAAGTCAAAATCTCGTTGATACGCTGGGTTGAAACTTGATTTTATTAGCCTGAGCCAAAGTCTGTACCATGGATAGCTTACATACACCCAAGCCTAGAGTCCCCTAACGCATCAGTTTGGATGTACAACTCGAGAAGGGCCTTCATTGAGGAGGCCGCTGTAGCAGCCGCGAACGTCTGCCATTTCTTATTCTTATGGCTGTCGGCGTAGTCGCAAACCCCCTTTACAACGACGCATGGTACCTCGTCCCAAGCCCCGGCGGCCTCCATCTCGAAGGCAACGAGGTCATACCTCTGAGCGATTTCGTCGCGATGCACGCCTGACTTCATCACGGCATTTCCTGACCCGACACCACCAATGAGTATGTGCGGCTTTGGGCCTCTGCGGTATTGCCTTCGCGCTCTAGTTCCTTTTTGGTCTCGAGGCTCTCCCTGAGCACGAAATGACTTTTGTCGCATTCAAGTTCTACGCACGATGCATCCGGAGCTGTCTCACAAATCCATGTATCGTCGCAGCCACAGTCAGCATCATCTCCGTGCCTGTGCTCATAGTTCGGGCTGAAGAGTCCGTCATGGGCTGCTCCAGGGTAGGGGTACCGAGTCCGCTTCCTTCCGGCCTGTGCGGCGGTCTGCTGAATACCGGTAAGGATCTCAGCTGTACGACGCTCAAGGCTTTCGAAAGTTCGCTCAGTCCCAAGGGAGGCCAGAAGTGAGCGGATGTCCTTGTTGGATCGGCCCAGGCTATCGTTGAGGGTGTCTTTAGTCGCAAAACGATGAGGATTCTGACGGCCAAAATCGTATTGAACCACCGTCTTGCTAATAATGACGTCTCCGAGTAAAACCTCTTTTTCGGTTCCTGGGCTGGGAACTCCGCCGCATATGCCCACTAGCAAAGCTAGCTTGAGCTCAGTATAGCTCGAACGGAAGCTTGCCATGGCAGACGCCGAGCTTACTGTCCCCATGCTAGGAAGCAGAGCCATGACAACGTTATATTTGCCTATCCGGCCGGTAGTGTATCTGTTCGGATCTCCGCGAGCTCTGCCGAACTTATCGCCGTCCTCGTCAAAAAACTCGTCAAAAGCCAGGGTGGCAGCATTGTACTCAAGAGGGAGCGCGCACAACACAGCGATTCAAAAATCTTCGCGACGTCGAGGTCGCTGATCGGCAGCCATTGTGATGAAGACTAGGCCGCTAACAACTCAAACCACTCAGTTGAAAATGTTGAAAGAATCTCAAAGTGATTACAGAACAGATTCTCAAGTATGGTGTTGGAGGAAAGCTGGGTTTGTGAACTCTCTCCAAGGCACTGAAGGGGATGCGGGGGTTCGAGCACTTCCAAATCTGCTTCAGGGGTAGAACGTGATACATTTGCCTGACATGCTGCATAATATATTGGTCGGTAGAGTGGATGAGGATAAGCTGCGCCTTCTACATGCAGGTATTCCTATAAGTTTATTGGCACACGACAAGTTACTGAGAGTCCTAGTTCTCTGCGGACTCCCGATAGGTCACTTTACCTGTGCCAAGGAGCATCTCATGCGTATACGAAGATGGGGAGGCTTCCAGCCTGCTTCTTCATACAGCCCGAGGCAGACTCGGTCTCAACTGCAGGCTGTAGCCTGCTGCTCAGATGTTTTTCCTACGGTCCACTATTTCCCCGGCGTTGGCCACCGCGATGTCTGTCGATGCAATGTGTCAGATTGGTCAAGAATACTATGAGTCTTATTCCCTTTCAAATCTACTGAATTTATTATGCGCAGTGATGGTTTCCGTACTAGCTAGGTTGCTTCAGCGAAATGAGAGGTCCCGAAGTTGGTATTGTACAGACCTTCGGCCTGGACGGCCCCATCGCGGCCTCGCACTTGGTCTCGTCTCCGGCGTTCGGTCAATGATCCGGAATGCTGCTGAAGACCCGTATTTCTCATGGCCCTAGCGCAGTCTTGATCTCCGGGAGAAACGCCTAAGCGTATCGTGCTCAATGCGAGGATTCCTCATATTTCTGTATTTCTCTGTATCGAGACTTTAACCAGATAATCGGAGTTTTTGGGTGTAAGAACAGGACCACGCGGCAAATCAACTTCCTCTCTCCCTCGTTGGCGAAGCAACAAAGCTGCAGCTAATCTGATACTGTGGCAGCCAAGGGCGTTCGTAGTCTCTTTGTACCTCAGTGCCCGGAATATTCCTGACCGTCAGGAACTCAGAATCTACCACCGCGGTTTAGACTCGCCCGGCGTGTATTCGCCATGAGGACTTGGCAAGCAATGCCAACGTAGCGACTCAGCCTCTTCACTGGCTCCTTGCCGGAGATTCAACGGCCAGATCTTGGAACCAACTCCATCAACTGTCGGGCCGATACCATCCCTACACAAGAAACATCTACCAACAATACCTCTGCAAATCTAACCCCAGGTTTTCTACTCAGCTTCACCATGCCAGTCAGCGCCACACTCTTTGATTGCTCAAGTAGGCGAGACCCGTTGGCCTGTGGTCTAGATATTACCCCCTAGCTGGGGTCGGATGGACATGTGATACCAAAAGAAAGAAGACATTGAAAGCATTGCCACCATCACCAAGAGTTTGATTGAGAAAAACTCCTTGCACGAGATCCTACCCTCAATCTTGGTGTCTCTCCTATACATTTATCAAATAGCTTGGCATTCAAACACTTGAGAAGTAAACATCCTTGAATACCCATGGTTGCCATGCGTACGTAGACACATGTCAATAATAACTTTTACAACGGCCAAACGTCTGGAGAAACACTAAACAGGCCTGTCTGACAGATCAAGAATGTGGCCCCATGAACCCAAGAAGTGGAAGTGAATGAGCGTCTACGAAGTCGAGAAGCTGTCACCTTTCAGCTTCGTCCTAGAACCATGGCTGAGAAGAGCCCAAACAACACAGCAAGTGGTCACACAGCGGCGAAGCGGCTAGAGGCCTCATATGGGAATGACAACAAACAGTCACACAACATGCTGACAACGGGGCCGTCAACTAGGCTTATGCCTGCGCACTAGTGTCGGGAACGCAGATTGAGCCACGATGGCATATGCAGCTCTAATCCCAGTGGCCCATTAGCAGACGGCATTAATGGGAGTCCGGCAGGATTGTATCCAAGGACCAAAGGTCGAGCGTTGGCTGACGGGTCCGACATGTTTGTTGTCACCAGCGCGCTGGTTGAACAGCTTTTCGGGCGTGATATCTACCACGTGCTGGTACGACCTGGCCTGGGCAAATATACCTGGCTGCTCTCACACAAGAATTACATTGTTTTATCCGTCCAGCCGGTTCCTTTCGGCCTAAGTACTTATCAGTTATGTCATCCGCCTCCGCTAGCCCCAATTCCAGGGCAGGATGCGCACAGCTTATCACAAAAGAAACCGGGTTGACTTCACGAGCTGAACCGGGAGCACGAAGAACATGCTGAAAAGGCGGCAGAGAGATGCAGCACATGAGTCGCAGGGACCGGTGGCGGCTGGGGCTCAATAGGCGGACGGGACTCGGGAGGCGGGAATGGATGCAAGATGGACATGGGGGGGCAGCGGAGCGAATGGGGGTCTGAGGTTGAGACGAACAAGAGTGACTATTAACTGGCGAATCTGACGTGCATGAGACGAGCGATCTGTGGGCGGCCAGAACCGGGATGGAGAGGTATTTTGGTATCATCGTCGGTGCCATCAAGGGGTTGGTAGGCGGTAGTGGTACGGGATCAACGTGATACCAGTCTGGCGGCGCGAAGTGGCTGGATCTACCCAGCTGCGCGGTAGAGGCCATTTTCAGAGGCCCAAAATCCCGCTCTGTTCATTGTGGATGACAGGAAATGCGTGATGTTCGAAATGGGTGGTCCAGTCTTGTTGATGTCGAGGTGCACCTCGTGCGAAGCTGGTGAACTATAACTCGGGAAGCCTAGATACCAGCACGACAGCCTTAGAGGGTTGTAGGATGGAGTATCAGTAACATGAAGATCAAAAAGCCCACTCGTGGTAGCTGACACCTCGTACGGTGGAAATGAGGACGGCTACCTGCTGGGTAGCGGACGAACACAAAATCGTGAAGGTTTTCGTACGTTGCCGAATGGGTACGAGAAAGTTGTAGACGATGCAGCGAAAGTAGCGAATAATGTGGACAGGAACATGGAATGCAACCCATCCGGCGCGCGGGTAGACAAGCTGACCGTTTTGCGGTGTGGAATTCGGGTGGCATTCGGGGGACGGTCTGCCGGCCTCCTCTAGACGGCTTTGGGGGCAACGGCTGGGCTGGCGGTCGGTACCTCAAAAGCTGCTGCAGGAGAGTGGCAGGAGAGTGGCAGGAGAGAAACAGTCTGGTAGTTGACGATTGGCCCCTGGAGGCGGGGATTGTTGATGGAGAAGGATGTGGTGTAGCAGACGATGTGGGTTAATGCTGGTTGAAGCTCGCTGGGTTGGCCAAGGGGGCCGATTGGGGCCCTGTGATGCGTTGGCACGGCGTGCCAGCTCTCGTGGACGACGCAGATTGGACGGCGGACGAGCAGGGGGGTGCTGCGCTGTATGCCAGTGTCTCGAGCAATGGGCAAGCCGTGAGAGATTGAGGGAGGGGAAAAGGCCTCTCTGTTGGTGTATTGGAGCATGTAAAACAACAGGGCCAAAGGCTATGCATGCCAACTCATCAAGGCGGCCAGAAGCAGATGTGCCTTTTTCTTTTGGTCTTGTTGTTGCTTCCACTCTCCTTGCCTCCCCTCCCCCGTTGTTTGTATCGCTGTCGCTGCGTTGACTGGCCCGTCGGTGTGCGTGGTGATTTGTCCGACATTTGTTGGGGCGACACGAGAGACGCTGATGAGGTGGACGGCATGGCATGGGCAGTCGCTGTAACCGGACTCATGTTGCAGACCGCTTCTCTTCTTAGGTCTACCGTCGCTGACATGACAGATATGTCGAGACGAAGGTCTCTCTCTCGGTGGGCATGAAGCAAATATCGGCGGCAGGCCGTAAGTGTCCGGCGGCGGGCGGCGGTGTTCTCTGCAGGGCAATGCTCGATGCATGCTCGGTATCGCGAGCGAATGGTTGGGCAGTACGTATTCTTCAAGTGACAGCTGTGTACGACGTGGTACGCCGAGCAACGACGCACAAGGGCGGCAGCTGGTGTCGTGGAACAGGCAATAAGGCGAACATCAACTCAATCGGGTCTTGTCTCGTTGCGGGTGCGCTTGCGCGAACCTGTGCCTGTGTACTATCGCAGGCCTCAAGAGCGAGGGTTGCCGATGCAGCCCGGCCAGACGCTTGTGCTGAAGTGTTGGATACCTCGAGGTAGCGAGCGACTGACTAGTTGGAGCTGAGGCAGGGGAGATGACGATGCCAAAGTCAATCAGGAGTAATGTCATGCAGTGGCCGTGGTTGGCTGTATATGTTGGTCTGGCGATCCCGGTTCTGATTGAATTTTGGGCTCCAGCTCGATTTCATGACTTTTATTGGTATTCCTAGCAACATCAGCCGAAGCTGAGGATATCGGACTAGATGGCTAGGTGGTCCTAGATTCGTAGGTAGGCACTGGCCTGTTGCTCTTATTGGATGTGGCTCGCGTGGCAATAGAAAGACACAAAAACAAAAGCAATGAATGATAGCGTACTCCATAAAGCAGTAAACTAAAGTGGCGGCGAAAACAACAACGGGGATGGCTTCAACCAACCTAAGACGGGGGACGGGGGTGTGTTTGGATGTGCGTTGGCGGGCAACGTCTTTTTTTCGTCCAATGTTTAAACTCTCTGAGTGGGCGCTGCACCTTCTCTACCAAAGGCAAGTAAGTGGTGGAAGCTTGCCTCTCTGGTGGCTCTTTCCCACTTCATGGATGGCATTTGCATTTTGTGTGAGGTGGCAGGTGGGAGAGGCGTGCCCCGTCCGTTCCTTCTAGCTTCGTTTGGTTTAGTTCCATCCCTCCTCCGTGTTTCCTTCCTTTCCTTCTTCCCCTCCAGCCTTTTACCCCACGCTTGCCCGCCTCGTCAGTTTCCATGCAACGAATAATGGAAAGAACGAGGCAGGTGAATGGTACTTGTACAAAGGCACGAGGTTAGGCCAGGAACATGTTGCTTGAACCAACTGCTCCGAATAAACCGAGGACGTGAGCCTATGAGTACGAAAACTACACCACAAGGCATGTATCCTCGACGCATATAAGTCATCATCTGACTGCAATGTTTCCGCTGCGTGTGTGTGTGTGTGTGTGTGTGTGTGTGTGTGTGTGAGCTGCCATGTCCACGGGTGCGAGTGTGGCCATCCTTGTCAGCAGTTCGCCCCCTCATTTTTCTGCTCTTGTTGCTGGAAGATCGTCCAGCGGTTCGCAGCTACAGGGAACCAGCAGCTGGGGCACAACTTTCAACCTTGGGTCTGCCCTGCTCCTTTTCCCTTGCCACGCATTACCTTACCTCTCGACGGAGTACGGAGTACCTTAGAGAGACGGGACTGGACGCATCGCATCTCACGCACCAAACCCGGGTCTTTTTTGGGTTCCTAACCGCTGGCCGTTGGCCGCTGGATGCCCGGTCGGTCCTGTCTCCGGCCCCAGCGGCCCACCCCTGTCTTCCAGCTCACAGCTTCCATCTTCCTCCCGGTCTGTTGTTTGGATATTTGGGTACGAAGTATCATCTGGGTAGGTCCAGCGAGTCGGACGTGGCCGTGGACGTGGAGTCTCCCTGCCGGCACCTCAGGGCTCACCCACGCCCAGCTCCAGTGTCTGTTACTCGCAGCGGAAAGCGACAGCTCTCTCCCGCACACCTTGGGCAGCGTGACAAGTACCCGATACCCAAGCAATCCGGGAGCAACTGCATGCAATGGAACTTGCAACATGTCCACGTTCACGTCTTGCTGTCCTCCTTTTTCTTGTACGCTGTACACAGATACTTTCTCTCATCTCACCTGAGGTAGGTACCTAAGTAAGGTACGAATATAAGGTACATGGTACAAAAGATAGGTATCTCTCTGGGATAGAAAGAGCGAGGATACAGATGGCAGGTGTGGTGAGGTACCTTATAAAGTACGTACCTGACCCAACCAGCCCACCCTCGTGTCGTGCCTGGTCTTGCCTTCCTTGCCTTGCTGTGCCTTCCTCGCCTTGAGACCCTTGCCTTCCTTTCTTGTTCCGTCCCTTCCTCCCGCATTACCTTAAACCACGGCCAAAACCTCCCATGACTTTTGCCTTGCTTGGGTTTCTGATTTGTTTTTCTTCCCTCTTTTTTTTTTTTTTTTTTTGACAATAGAAATTCTTCCCATGTAAACATATCGACAAGGCAGTGAATACACTTCCTTCACCCGACGACATCTACCTCATCTCTCGAGGCACTGGCATTGCGCCGACCTCTCCTCTTCTCCTCCCTCTTCCTCCGCCGTCCTTTATCGTTGAGTCTGCCCCGCTTCAGCAGCTATCGTACCCACCCGCTTGCGCCCATCGTCAACGGCGCACACTCGACGACATCACGCGGTTGCGACAGCACAGCTACCAGCTTGTTCGAAAGCTGCTGCTGAAGCTGCCCCCTCGCTCTTCGACTCAAATCCTCATGGTCGCAACATGATTTCCATGCAGCGTTCCCTCTCTTCGCCAGTTCGCGTAGTCTCTGCCCGTAGGTCCCACCAACAACCTCACCATCACCCACAAAGCGCTCTATTCTGTCGTAGCCTCCCGTTTCTTCCACTACCTTACCTGAAGGTACTGACTGTTGCTGTTTCTTCTGCGTCATAGCTGCCTCCCAAGATGACGCGAACCAGCCCCGATCCTCGAATCCTCCTGCCGAAACCTACAACACGTCCTTCAGATCCCGTCGCCAGAGGTCTCCTAGCCCGACCCGAAGCGTCGAGGCCGTAACCCTGCCTGTTCGTCGTAGCGAAGACACACCGAGAAGACCCGCCTCTCGGTCGCACCAGAAGCCCGTGATTGCCCAAGCGTCAACGCCCATTGCCACCTCTCCCGTAAAAGCCACCATGGATTCTTCGTCCGATGCGGCCCTCGCCTCCGCCACGGGAACGGCTTCTTCGCCCGCCCTCCCCCAAGCTCTCCTCCCGGATCCATCCATGTACACGAACCCTCATCTGGCGCCCGAACCTGATACAACGACCCTGGAGGAGCTCGCCCATTTGGTTAGACTGTCCAAGTACCAGGAGCGCAAGCGCGCAAACACACGCATACGCCTGCAGAGGAACCTCATCTCCACAGCCTTGTCAGCTCGTTTGAACCGCTGCGGTGAGATTGCCCGGAAGAACTTGGTAGACTGCTTTCGCTCCGATGACAAGAAGACCTTTGCTTCTCTATTCAACGCCATTCACGATGTGCGCAAGAGCTGCGACGAACTGCGCCGCTATGCTTTGTTGGAGCCCGAGATGGACTCTCTTCAATCCCCTGCCCTGGCGTCGTCAGAAAGCCTGGACACGCCGCCGAAATCGACCTCGGGATCTAGTTCTCTCGGATCCATGACCCCTTTTCTTTCCGAGTTGCCCGCCTCTGTTCGGGAAATCTTTCTTAACTTTCTGAACCAGATCAGGACGAACCCGGACTACTTGGCTACAAGATTATGTTCTCTAACCTCTGCAGAACTGAATGTCTTTACTGGCGTCCATCAG